ATAATCTCAGAACTGCTTTTAACTTTTACGAAAGTGATCAAAGTCAATGTCTGATTCTTGTCTTCATTGGGAAAATATGCATTCCTGATGACCAGAAACATATAATTTCCTGATGCCCTCAAAAACATAATTTCCTCACGACCACAGAGACACATTGTAAGAAAACCTTTTTCTGTCGTTAGGAGATGGGGATACTTAATAGTGCTTGGGTCTGGCATTGCCGATAGAGACATGATATTAACTTGATCCCTTGTTAAGGCAGCGCGGGGAAAATCACATTTTAACCTCTGAGTCACGTCTTCAGTTGGTGTTGCGAAACAAGAAAGACGTAATATTTTATGAATGCATAGGGCACACTCACTTATGCAGGTGTAGAAAATCTACAAAAGAGAATATATTTATCGATCTTCAATCAAAAATGTATTTTGCATGATCTTTCCTAACTATTTCTGTAGTTAGATTTGATAAAGAAATCGTTTATTTGCCTCGTAAACTATAACCTACTCTACTGTTAATAACTCTGAAAGTATTGACCAACTGTCACCTTTATTGTGACTGAAATATTCATCGTTTCCAATTTGTGTTTATACAGATAGACCGCGTGATCTTAACTGTGGTAGTTCAATGCTCAGCGCCAGCAAATACTCCTGGAGATATTTGGCATCCCCTGGGTACCCAAACTACAACTACAACAAGTAAGTAGGTATAACTTCACCGTTCTTTGAAAAGCCGTTTGGATTACTCTCATGTTAATACAGTGACTCCTTCGTTCAAATGTTCTGTCCTGATCCTGCATCTTGACAAACACAGACCCTCACCCCACCCCATGCCCCACCCCTCCTCCCAAGGAATAACTTCATCCGTGTTGATTTCAGATGATCCAGACTTTGAAACATTTTAAGAGCCTTTTCGTTCACGCTTGAAGGTAATTTTGCAGCTATTGAGTAATTGGGAGCCTCATCAAGATGGGCATAGCCATACGCCCGAGAAAAGTGTGTTATATATCACCTTTCCTGGTGAGGAACGTTACGAAGGCGAAATGTTTTAAATCTTGTCACATTCATTGTTTCAGGGTGTTGGTATTGGTGATAATTAACAGGAAGAACACACCAAATATTGATTGAGAGTGGTGTGAACAAAAGGCCCTTAGAACAGCTTAAACCTGTGTTGATGTAGCAAGATTTTGCGTGTTGTTTTGTTAGCTAACTGACTTGCCGCCCTCATACAGAGTTATATTTCATCTAATCTGTTCGTTTCTTTCTTAAAAGTGACATGTACTGCACGTGGACAATCTCTGCGCCTGTTGGATGTAAAGTAAAGGTTGACGTTCAGACTATTTCTATGGAAGTCGATACATCTTGTTCTAAAGACTACGTGCTCTTCACAGATGGTAAGAACAATGTTCCTTAAACCAAAGTAGATCAGTATACATTTTATCATATTTCCCTTCGAATTGCATTGGTTTGCAATTATCACTGGTCAATAATTAGTATTCATAGTCTCAAGTTGGCTTCAGTGTTTCTACCATGAGTATCTTTTTTAACCGACAACACAATGGTTCTTTGTATTTTTTCAAGGTTCCACGGCTTATGCCACTCAGTTGGGTAAATACTGTAGTGACGTCACCGGCTACATCATCAGCTCCCGCAACGCCATGACCATCACTTTCAGCACTGACAGTTCTGTCACAGACAAAGTATTTTCTCTGAAATACATTGCGTGGAAGAAAGGTGCTTAAGTTTATATTGATGTGAATGCCTTTCGTCTTTCGTGACCTAACGTATTGAAACTCATTTCTTCCCAAAATTGCTTTCAAATCAGTTGAAGAATATTATGCTGTTGATCTGGAAACAATGTTTGGAAAACCTCGTTGAAACATTATGTGGTTTTGGTTTATGTTTAAGCTGATGCTTGACATGTTAGTTTGGCCTTATGTAAATGTGTCCTTATGTGTCTGGTCCAGGCTCGATTGCTTACAGACCACCAAAATATATGAAAAATGTTTGAGTGCCACGCTAAACAACAAAAAAACAAATGTGTAAAAAGGAAACTGATTGCCTCCCTCAGAGAAAAAAGTATATCTTAAGTAAGTTTTCTTACGTAAATCCCGCAACATTCAAAGTCAATGTAAACTAACCTCTTTTTTAATCTTTAATGAATGGATAGTTCAATTTAAAACAGCGGAAGGGATGATGTAAATCGAGCTGGGGCCCAAGCAGGAAGCAAAAGTCCCCATGGTCCCTAGTATGGTGATCTACCTTCAGTTGTTGGCAATTTATAGCCTGGTTTTATATTGTATTGTCGTGTATAGTTAAATGTTTTAGATTTGGTTACTAGTTTTAAATTTCTACCTGTGATAATTTAGTTATTTTACTGTCCTTCTTTGACAGGTTTTAATAATTTACCTTTAATATATATTTATCTATAACTTGATTTAGTCACGATATGGTTGAAATATTGCCAAAGTGACTTTAGATTTTAACTCACTCACTCACTTAAGTAAGCTTTCAAGTGTATTTTTACACTTTTTTATATTTTCCTGAATTGAAACCAGCAATGGGGTATGCAAAATCCACTGAGGCAGAAGAACACAGTGGACTCATTTGTGTTGCGTTATACAAGACAACTCACAGTATTATTCCACAGAGCCATCAATATATAAACATCTCTGAAAGAATGAAACTTGAACTGCGCTAAACCTTTTGTGGAAGTTTATTATGTGTGAAAATAGTACATTTATTGTACCATCATATTCTTCCATCTGAAAGGGGAGGACAAGAGTTGCATGTATCCTAACTCTGTTATATTATTTGTATGTATGTCACTAAGGTGCTAGTCAAACATGTCTTGCTTGACTGTATTGATTTTGACATCACAAGGGATAAATATTTTAATGTCAAAACAGTGAAGGATCTTTTAAGTGTTAATTATCATTTAATCATTGAATTTTTAAAAGAAATAGAATTGCTAGATAAACTGTGATTAATATTTTGTAAATAGATATGTATTTTATTACTGGTAGTTTAGATGAGTAACTTAGATTGTTAGTGGCTGTACCCTCAAAGGGTAAAAGTACTGTAAAATTATTGTCCTCCTGAGAGGGTACGTAAGTCCCAAAACTTTCAAAGTAAGATGTAAATTTACCACATTTTAATCGTAGTATTTTTGTTCTTTTAACGTTCGGCTAAATTTTCCTACAATCGCCAGCGGCTGAAGGGATGGTGCAAAATCCAGCTAGGGTCCATGCAGATAGCAAAGGTACTGTAAGTCCCCATGGTCCCTAGTATGGTGATCTACCTTCAGTTGTTGGCGATCTATAGCCTATTTTTATATTGTATTGTCCCAATAGTTCTATTAGTTTTAAACTTTCCACGCTAGTTTTAATTCTAATTGTGATATTCTAGACGTTTTACTGTCCTTCGTCGACATGTTTTTATAATATACATATATTCCACTTCAATGTCAAATATTTTTCGTCACGATATGGCTGCAATATTGCCGATGTGACGTTAAATAATAACTCACTCACTCACTCACTCACTAAGGTGCTGGCTACACTTTTGTGTATATTTGTGGTCCGGAAAACTGTTAAAAGCATAGCTGTAATGCTAAGAAAGATATTGGACATGGTATGTATTTTTACAAAATCAAACATCTAATCCTCTGAATAAACACATCAACATATCAAACCACGTCAATATATATAAAAAAATCATTGACTATTTTCAACAGTAAACCTGATATATGTACTTATTATGAAAGGTTAACTTACTATACCATCCCTTTTGTAGACCTTCAAATAGTGAGCTGATTCGTGTCTCCTAGAACATCATCAAAGAGAGGCGGTGAGGTAGCCTTGTGGTTTAAGCGTTCGCTCGTCATGCCAAAGACACGGGTTCGATTCCCCACTTCAGTAAATTAGTGAATCGCATTTCTGGTGTCCCCGTCTTGATATTGCTGGAATTTCGCTAAAAGCGTCGTGAACGTATACCCACTGATCATCACATAAACTCCACATGTGGAAGAAGAACTGTTTGATATCACTTGTTTCAGGGTGTGGCGAAGATGATACGATAAGCTATGGGACAAAATACATTGAATCACCGGATTATCCTCTATTCTATCCCGAGTAAGTATACGGCACACATTTTAGGATAAACACGGCCACACAGAGGTGAAAACCTGGGGGATAACACCACAACGAGCATCGTGCTTATTATTTGCTATCACTTCAAAAACAATATTATGAATCTTTCGTTTCTCTCCATACGCATATTCATAGTTTGCACATCGTTTTCTTATTCATATCCCAAAGAAGAGAAGGAAATACACAAACAATCCTGATAATTGAAAAGGAACAATATATGACAGATATGATTTATTTTTAAAAAAGGCAACATCTTTGACAGGCATTAGTCGGAGGAGTAAGGAAGTATAACAATGCATAAATGAACAGCTTCTATATTAATAAGGAAGTTGTTCATCCATATAATGTTGTCTTTCCTTAAATTAAATCAGACAGACATATCGAGGTTGATCACCACTCCGGGATAAGGTATTCATACTATGGTATGAAGTGTATCAGGGTACATTTTAATTTCCAGGGTGGAAACTGAAAGTTTGTAGTCAGCTAACCCCTTTACTTCATATGACTTTTTGAAGCATAAGAATTGCTATGCCTGTGATGTTTATGCTATAATTTGTTTCAACGCCTGTGCCGAAACTCATTTCTTTCCATGTGTACATGCGGAACACATGGTTAATACTGAGATCCATTTCAATTTTAGCAATGCGGACTGTGAGTGGACAATCAGCACATCCATTGACGGATATGTAATCCATGTTGAAGTGGTGTATTTCAACATTGAGCACGACAGCACATGTTCCAATGATTATGTACAGCTCTATGATGGTAATGGCTTAAGATTAATCATGTATATCCTAGTAATGAGTAAAAGAGACAATTGCCTCAATTATATTCAAGCTGCGCCCTTTTCGTCAAAGGAGAAAACCTCCTCGACCAGTGTGACTTCGGTATTTCCTCCAGTTTTAAGCTGACACGTTGTTAACCGGATATGCTGTCCACGTTGAAAACACAGGTCTTGCTTAACAGCCTTATTTGGATAATCAAGTTTTGTGATCTCTCTGAACTCGCTTGAGATTATCGAGCATTTATATATATTTTTACAATAATTACAGCTGATGTTATTATAATTGAGGCACATAGCAAAGTAAAATAGTCATTTGGAATAAGTAAATGTCATCCCCAAACAAGAACAAATTAAAGACTTTTTAAAGCAATGTATCGCCTAACAAATGACATTATCTCATGATTGGTTTTATTGTCATAATCTTCTGACATGTTCTGTCAATAGCCACGACTTTTGAAAACTCGATCGGTCGATGGTGTGGAAGAGATGGGCCAAATACACAGACAACAGGGCAGACAATGAAGGTTAAATTCCACTCCGATGGTTCGACTTCTCTCACGGGATTTAAGTTGTCCTTTACGGCCGGCGAACCAACATCTGACTGTACGTGTTTCAGTTTTATTCGTTCATTTCAGAATGCACTGGGGTAGCCCAGAGGTAAACCCGTCCGCTCGTCACGCCGGAGACTCGGTTTCAATTCGTAACAATGTGTGAAACCCTGATTTGGTTTCCCCAACCTGATATTGCTGGAATATTGCTGAAAGTGGCGTGCAAATCGTACTCGCTCAAAGCAGCCTTAAAGCAAACAGACACACTGTACCATCTTGCCAGGGTATTAGGTCACGGTGTAGTAGGTGTAATTGCCGTTTCATCGTAATTGTCCTTCCACCTATGTCAGTTCAGGGTGACGTTAATCTAATGGTAGTTAATTCCTATATAGCTCAGCGTCATACTGGGATGTAAATGCGTTTATTAACTTTAGTTTAAAACACATCGGTTCCTATTTTGTAAACGAGAACCGCCTCCCTTGACGTTATGAACATCTACTACTGAAGTCTCTATAGCCAGGGCAATATCAGGCAGGTCAGGGGTTTCATTTGTTTTATGTTTTTTGTTATTTTGGGGGTGGGGAAGGGGGTGGTTTGTGTGTGTGTTTTTGTTTTAGGGAATTGTTTTTGTTGTTGATGTTATCTTTAGTTTTCGCTTTTTGTTTTGGGGGTTTGTTTTGTTTTACATTTGCTTTGTTTTCTTATTCAGTTTCTACGTCCACGAACATTGGAGCCATACTGGGAGGTGTATTAGGCGGTATCACAGCTGTAGCTATTGCAACCTGCTGCTACTGTGGACTTTGTTCCAGGAAGAAATCCAATCCCAACGGCCAACAGCAGCGGAACGGATCGTATGAAGGCACCGTCTCTTTCATCAGCATCCCCAGCAACCTTCAAACTACGCCTTCTCCACCTACTGCTCCTACTGTTTTGCCATTCATTTCCCCACCACCTCCTTCTTACGATGATGTTGTGAAGGATGATCCTCCACCGTATTGTCAGGCAGTCCCACTATCAGACATACAGCCTGTTGTGACGTCATCCGCTAGCTGTGCATCTCAATATCAAGGGATATATAATCCAGCAGGACCCATTTGAGAGTGACAGTTTTACATGACGTACATGTTTGTGTTCCTGGAGTCAACAAGGAAGAGTCTTCCTCCATATTAGTTTTCTTATTTGCAGGTTGGGAGAGGGTAGAATCATTCCATACCATACTTTTTGAAAATCTGCTGTTGATGATCATTTAATATGCAAAAGTTAAGCTCAGCAACATTACAGCCAATTTAAAAATAAAATCTATTTACCTGACTTTTTGCATATTGGCATTTTAATGAGACTATAGAATATCCCCCCCATTTTCGTGGAATCTTTTAATTTACCTCTGACATGATGTTTTCGTTCTGTAACGTATGCAGTGGTTTAGTTTCTAAAATGTTTGGGTTTTGCTTTATTCTGTGAGGAGAGGTGAAATTGGGTTTAACGTCGTGCTTGAGAATATTTCGCTCATATGACGACGTGCATGCGTGTGTATGTGTATGTGCGGCTGCTTGTACTAGCCCAGACTGAAGCTGGTTTTATAGTGCTAGCCCACTCAGATACCATGCCGCAGTGAAGCATGAATACCCCACTCAGACACATTATACTGACTCCGAGCCGACCAGTCCTTATTGTACCCATAAATGCCGAGCGCCAGGCAGGGACCAACAAGTACTATATTTTAACGTCTTATGGTATGACGCGGTCGGGGATCGAACCCGCGACCTTCCGCTCTCCGGGCGGACGCTCTAACCATTACACCACGGAGGCGGTGCTTTATTCTGTGAATAGTTCTACCAAATGTTGAGGATGCTGATGCTAATTGATGAATTTCTGAATATAAAAAAAACAACAACAGATGCCACGTATGCAAATGAAAGATCATTCATAGGCTGTATGCTTTTCAACAGAGATCGTCCCAAACCTGTGATGATTGTGAAAGAATACTACACAATGCCTCCTAGACAAAACAACCCAGAATATCCCCGTGGAGGCCGTTTGCTATTTTTTTAAAATGTTTTATTGCTTTTGCTTTTTTGCTCCCAATTGCGCAGATCGATGCTCATGCTGTCGATCACTGGATTGTCTGGTCCAGACTCGATTATTTACAGACCGCCGCCATATAGCTGGGATATTGCTGAGTACGGCGTAAAACTAAACTCACTCACTCACTCACTTTTGCTTTTTGCAATAAAATTATCTTTTATATCAAATGATGCATGTTTTCCATGTAGTGGTTATGATTATTATTATTAGAATATGATTTTATTATTACTTACATATTAGACACGTGCATATGTCCGATTACGCGGGGATATGCGTGTTTCTTCCTTTCGGTAAATGATAGACTTTACTGACGTTTTTACTTTGTTGGAATCGGAGAGCACGGGTGATAAGGAATCAAGTTCTTAGGAAATTTCCTTGTAAAGGACACTAGCGCTATCGTTGTCACTTCTTACATGGAATATAGAAGTGCAAAATAATACACATTCCTAACAACCGTACTCACAACAAGTGGCCTGCGAGAAGCACCCACCATTCACAAAAGTTGCCTAAATGTTGTAGGTAAGGGGGTTGAGCAGAAAATGGTACGGAGATGGTACGGTGTTCGCCATGTTTTTCATGCAACTCTTGCTACATGTGCTGTTCACAAAGACCAGCCCTATAAAATGCACCCCCAAACCTGGTTGAAACATTCACACTACAAGGTCAGCAGGATGCCGCGACTCACGACAGTTGAGAGGAACCAGGCGTTAGGAAGACTTGAAGCTGGCCACACTGCACACGCCGTTGCCAATCACTTCCAGGTACACGTTCGGACCATCTCAGGCTGCAGCAACGTTTCCGGGCAACCAACACCACAAATGATCGCCCCCATACTGGCAGACCAAGGGTGACCACAAGACGAAAAGACCTCCATGTTGTGTGACAGCATGTAAAGAATCCCTTCATGCAGTCATCCGAAACAGCACGCCAGACAATGGGAGCACACGGAAGACCAATGAGTACTGATACAGTACGCCGACGTCTTAACAGCAGGAACCTCCATTGCCGTAGACCCTACCGTTGAACTATCCTCACCCCTCGTCATCGGGGTGAACGTCTACAGTTTGCCCTACAACACCAAAACTGGCGAAACAGGCAATGGAGAACTGTTCTGTCCACAGATGAGAGTCGGTACAGCTTATCAAATGCTGATGGCAGAAGAAGAATATGGCAAAGACATGACCAGCGTTACTCAGACCAATGTGTTATGGAAAGAGACTCATGGGGAGATACAACGAACATGGTATGGGGTGGAATAGGCCTGAACTAGAGAGTGGGTCCTGTGGTGTTCCAGAACCGTTGTCCAGGGAGAGGAAATGGCATCACAGCGGTGGCCACATCGACCAAGCACTCAGACCCCACGTCATACCACATTGCGCACGTCACCTGAACAACATTTTCCTGCATGATAACGCTCGGGCCCCTACTGCCAGGACTACACGGGACTTCCTACAGCAGAACGGTGTATACATTATGCAGTGGCCAGTCCTTAGTCTTGATTTCAACCCATTTGAACATCTTTAGGATGAAATTCAGAGGAGACAGAATAATGTCATACCAAGGCCGAGCACAGCCGATTTATTGTGCCAGTCCTTTCTCGGAGTGTGGTTCCAGGTGCCAATGGCCTATAATGTTGAAACCTCGTTATAATATATTTCATTCATGTCGTACACTTGCTACAGTATTTCTTGTGCCTTTGGACCCAAATGTCTATGATAAAGATAAGTTATAAATGGTGGAGGGTTGTGGTGGCGGTGGGTGGTGGTGCGAAGTTGATCAATAGAGTTTTAAAGTTCTTCTCCGGAAAAGAGCACTACCACCAAATTCAGTCGAAGTCGAACTTGTTGCCATGGAAACACAAAATGATATTTTATTCAGAATTCCAAAAACTACCAAAAACCACCACTACACCAAGTCAAAATTGTTGCCATGGAAACGCAAATAATATGTTTTACACAGAAATTCAGAACTACCAAAAGGCACCAGTACACCACCAGATCTATCTCTGTGCCAAGTTTGGTGAAAAAATAGTGAACGGTTTTGAAGTTCTCCTCCGGAAAAGACGAATGTGCACGGACGGGCGGACGCAGGGACGGACGGGGCGCATTTTAATACAACAACCCGCCCACCACCACCACCACCCCTCCCCCACAACACACACACACACACACACACACACACACACACATACACACACACACACACACACGTAAAACCCGTTGCGGTGGATTAAAGCTAACTTAAGTAAAAACTTAAGTAAAAACTCAGACTAAAGTTTGTTTAGAGAAACGGGGCCTGACGTTCCGCACTGGATTAGTATTAAACAATGATAATTATAATCATTGATGGAAGAAAGTTGATCACTCATTGAAAAAAGTATACGGTTCAGATAAAAGTAAATAAATTTTACATTGTCTACATTTAAGTGCACTAGTGCTGTTATTTGGCAATACTCATGAAATGGTTTGGTAACTGTGCGAAGGGTACCAAGTAGTTAGAGAATGGGCGCGAACAGGACCTGTCTTCACTGCTCCATAACGTATCATACAAGTCCTGGTGTTCGACCTTGTGATACTGTCAGAATATTGTCAAAACAGATGTAACTCAGTACCAGTTACTTCACACGAATGAGTCATCAAGCAACTGCATTTAACGATAGTGTAAACCTGTATCAGGCATTATACCAAGGCTTGTTAAATATAAGTTTCATTTCAAACATTAGTGCTAACCTGCTGATCACAATCCAGCAAAGCACATTCTCTCAGGAACAACACATAAGAAAGCCCAACACTGACTGGATCACGCTGACCCACCAAACAATATTATTTCGTTATCTGGTATGGTTGTTTGCGTAGTCCCGGTGTCGGTGGTTACTACCGCCTTGAAGTCGATAAAGGTCACACCCCTAGTGTGTGTGTTGCAATGTATTCATGTTCTTTTTTGGAGCGTTCCCTTCCTGATAGGGTGTAGACAAAAGAAATCTCTAAAACAGGTCTTAGTTACATTGTGAGCTTGATCTACTCATGTCCGTCTTGCATTAGAGCTTTCAACGGCAACAGGAAGCCATTATGAGCATACCTTGTTTCTTCGGAATATGTGTGTTGTTGTTGTTGTTTGGACCGCTGTTCTCAGGTGAGTGTGACATATATTCGTTGTGACATATATTCTATATGTTAACTTCTTTGAGAGGCATTTAGAAGTTGGAGCAGTAAGGAAGGATAACAATTTATCATCCAAAACTGTGTTCCACAGGAGATATCGCTAGTGTGAGATCAGGCGATAGATAGATAGATAGATATTCTTTATTTCCTCCAACTGAATGAAGATTACAATGTGTGGTAATAATATATTTTACATCAAATGATTAAGATAGGTTATTGATAGAGTCACAAATGTTCATATACATACAACTGTTTTAGCAAGTATCGCCATTTCCTTATAAAATGGCTTACATTAATTATTACTTTTGCCCATACATCTCTTTCTAGTTCCATTATGCACGCAATTGGACATCCACCAAGTAAAAATGCAAGAATAACATCATCATCTTGATCCCAGATCTTAACAAAAGTTTCTACATCCAGAATATCACATATGGAGTTAAAAAGTTCATTTCTGTCATTCATATTTATCGTACATAACATAAACACGTGCTTTACAATATCATTGGCGACAGTTTTACATGAACATTCTCTTGAAACAATTTCAGCTGATCCATAGTATACAAGTCTTGCAATATCAATTAACTGGTCGTTCTTCTCTGCAGCTAGCATCCAGAGATAGTGTTCATTATTGGATCTTATATTGATATATCTTGACAGACTAAGTCTTGAATTAAGATGAACATCAAATAGATTTTCTCGATGAGATTTAGTAGCATCATTTACGGCATTGGACCAGCATTTCTTACTGATGAATTGACCATTATTGACATAGTTAGCTAGTATATCGTTTAGGTTATACTTATGTACAAGTTGCAGCATATTGTATATCGGGGATTTTCTACTATATACATTGCATGTAGAGCTATCTGTACACACATAAATTGACCAAGGCGAACTAGAAACATTACTTTAAAAACACAGTTATACTTTGCATTACATAACTTTCCTAATAGGTAGAGGGCTCTTTTATCTATGTAATACTGTAGTGGCATGATACCGATACAATCCAATACAACAATACTGGGAGTGCGCTTGTGTAGTCCCTGAACTTTTTTACAAAATTGTCGTTGTACAACTTCAAGTATTTCATACTCTTTAAGAGAAAGTTTACCCCATACGTTACATCCATAG